CAAAGACCAGAAATGCAATGAAACCGAGGATTGGATACAATGTCTGCAAAGAGTGGATGTTTTCTCTAACCTATTATTAACATTAATTTATTTTAAAAATTTAAAGTTATAATAAAAATCAATTAATTAATACCCATTTGAGAGCCAATAACTGGTCATAGAGTCCGACATTTCCGGGCGCGTCCTCCCGATCCCCTTATAGGAAACCCAACGGTCCTAACCTATAGTTTGTTGAGACAACTACCACATCATTGGTGGCCAAAACACTGCCATTAAACCACTCGTTAAATATTGAGCCCACATTAAGACTCCCTCCGTGTATCCAAAACATCACTGGCTTTAATGCTGTGGTATTTTTTGTCCATATGTTAAGCACCAGACAGTCCTCACTTTGAACTGTGTCCGGAAGGAAAGGTAGTCCAGACGACCCCTGTATACATAAGTGCTTGGGTTTTGTCGCATCAATTATATCCTATTGATATTTATTTAAATAATAATTTTATTATATATTTATCTTAATTGAATTAAATATATAATACTTACGGGGAATGGCTTTATAATGGGTTCGGGTTTTGCGAACCTAAGTTTGCCGACCGGGGGTTCGGCGTATGGAATGCCCACAAACTGATCCACATTTGTGTTCAACACATGTAGTGTCCGACCCCTCACTACTCCTATACTTGTGTTCACATCAATACTATTCACAGTATTAACTATAAAATATAAAATAAATATTGTAACAAAATAAAAGCTAATCATCTTGACTATTTCTGATTTAAAAATAATATACTAACATACAATTAAACACAATTCATATAACTTATTGAGTTTTAAAAATTATTATAAACATTATTGTTAATCCTTGATAGGTTCATTTGGTAACAATCGTATACTCTATTAAGCTAATCATTTTTTTGAACAATCGCATTTGTTATAAATGCCCTAATTACTAATAATCCATGTAATACAATTAAAAATATGCTTTTTCCCATAAATTAAATCATGTTTAATCTTTTATTTGTTTAATATGTCATTTGGTGAAAGTGATATCAAAATATTTTTAATACATACACAAAATTTTGTTAAATTATCAATATTTTGTAGTTTTATTTTACAGTTTAGAGAAGTTATGTTGTAGACACTTAAAATAAATTTATAAATCTGTAATGTGTTATTTTTTACATTTCTCTTTATCATCAGGGTAAATGTGATTAAATAAATATTTTAGTTTCGTAATTAATCTATACAAAATGATCTGTGGAAAAATTTACCATGTGTTGCTAATAATTGTACACAAGTATTCAAACAGTAATTGTTTCTATTGATATTTGTTTAATACTAGTTAATTTTATTTATGCAATTCAATTAAAAGTATTATAGCTTATTTAACAAATTATTCAATTGCATACAAAACCTACAAGGTACAATATTTTTAAACATAATTTATGAATCACACAATAAAACCTGAAAACAGGTTTTGTTATCTTAACAAGGCAATTTTGAAAACAAGTGAAAACGATATTCACATAGCTTTATAAATCAAATCAACACATGGTGTACAACACGTGCATTTCAACTGAACCATTATTTTTATCAAATTATTGTAATTAATCTGACATTTAATTTTATATATATTTCATATTTGTTATTTAAAATTGATTAACAAAATGTGTTCAAAATTAATGAGTGTTTCGTTGATTGAAATGAAGAGTAAAT